GAGGCTGTCCTTTCCCCAGTGTTTGTTCTTGGTACCTTTGTCGAACATCAGTTGGCCGTAAGTGGGTAGGTTGATTTCTGGGCTCTCTGCTTTGTTCCATGGATCCATGTGTCTGTTTTTATGCCAGTACCATGGTGTTTTTGGTTACTATAGCTGTATAGTATATTTTGAAGCCAGGAAGTGTGGTGCCTCCAACTTTATTTGGCTATATGAGATCTTTTGTGGTTCCATACTAATTTTACGATAATTTTTTTTCTATTTCTGTGAAGAATGTCATTGGTGTTTTGATAGGGATTGAGTCGAATGTATAGATTGCTTTGGGGAATATGGACATTTTGATGATGTTAATTCTTCCAACCCATGAACATGGGCTATCTTTCCACTGAATTGTGTCCTCTTCATTTTTTTTTTAACCAGTGTTTTATAGTTTTTATTATAGATATCTTTCACCTCCTTGGTCAAATTTACTCCTAGGTACTTCATTTTTTTGGTAGCTATCATGAATGGGTTTACTTTCTTGATTTCGTCTTCAGCTATTTTGTTGTTGGCATCTGGGAAGGCTATTGATTTTTTTTGTGTTAATTTTGTATCCTGTCACTATACTGAATTCATTTATTCTAGTAATTTTTTTGGTGAGGTCTTTAGGGCTTTTTTATGTATATGATCATGTCATCTGCAAATAGGGGTAGTTTGACTTCCTCCTTTCCAGTTTGGGTGCCCTTTATTGCTTTCTCTTGCCTTGTTGTGTTGGTAGAACTTCCAGTACTGTGTTGAATAAGAGTGGGGAAAGTGGGAATCCTTGTCTTGTTCCAGATCTTAGAGGAAAGGAAAAGTCTCCAATTATTGTCCATTCAAAAATTGTCTGGTGTTAGCTTTGGGGTTGTCATAATATGGCCTTTATTGTGTTAAGGTACATTCCTTCTATACCTCATTTGTTGAGTGTTTTTATCATGAAGAGGTGTTGGGTTTTATCAAATGCTTTTTCTGCATCTTTTAAAATGATTATATATTTTTTTTCTTTATTCTGTTGATGCGATGTATCATATTTATTTATTTATTTATTTATTTTTCCTTTTTGTCTTTTTTTTTTTTTCGTGTCCGGCAACGGATCGCAACCCTCAGTGTCGCACCCGTACCGGACCAGGACCAGCAACGGGATCGCAACCCTTGGTGTTGAGCCCGCACCTCAGCCAGTGAGCGGGAACCGGTCTGTATGTGGGATCTGAACCCTCCACGGGAGCGCCGCCGCGCTCCCAAGCGGCGCACTGTAGCAGTGCGCCACCGGGCCAGCCCTAGGCAGAGCTATTTTGAAGTGTGTGGCAAGGATGAGAATTTAAGTTTTTACTTGCTTATGTAATATGACAGAGTCACTTATGTTAAACATCAGAGGATTTGGTGTTTACGTATCTCTGTACTTGTAGTAATAGTAAGAATCACATCACTTCAAAGATGTGCGAAAATTGCTTAGAGGATGCCAATCTGTCAACAGAGATGCGGGGTGGGGATGATGAGGAAAGGATTTGGGGTGAAGCTCTTGATGACTATTCAGGTCTAAACTTTGTCTTCTTTTTCATCATCATCACCTGTCTCATAGTTCTCCTACGTGACACCAGATACAAGGCACTTTCTCATACGTATAGTTAGAGAATGAAAATCGATTATATTGACCTGCATCTTATGCTTTAAAACTTACTTCATGGTGGTGGGAACTTTGCTTAGGATTTCCATAGTATGAATAAACTACCACATATAAATTATTTCAATCTGATGTTCATTTCATTTGAGAGCTTGTTATTTGTGTGTATATATTTTAAGTTTGCTAATTTATATCACATTATATTATTGAACAGATGATTATTCATGCCTTTGTGTACTTGTTATGGTGCTATAAAGGATGGAGTTTAGAAAGTTATTTAGTTTGTTTGAAAATCTTCCTTTCTTTTCATCAATATTACTTGACTTCTGAGTGCAGCTAAATGTTGCAAATTTAATGACAATTTTCTTTGTAGAATTGATTTAATATCTTAACACTATTTTAGTATTATCTAATGTATTCTAAAATAAGTTTTGTCATAGAGTCACTTGTGCTCCTTTCTTTTCATCAATATTACTTGACTTCTGAGTGCAGCTAAATGTTGCAAATTTAATGACAATTTTCTTTGTAGAATTGATTTAGTATCGTAACACTATTTTAGTATTATCTAATGTATTCTAAAATAAGTTTTGTCATAGAGTCACTTGTGTAATATCTGGTAAATATATGCCTTGAATTCATTTTTGATGGATATTGATTCATAACATTTGACCTCTATAGGCTTTTGGTTAATAATAAAGTTTTTTATTTAGCATTAAAACTTAGGGAAAATGTTATTGGTTCAAATGAAGAAAATAGGATGCCAATGAATATTTCTAGTAAGCATTATTACAAGAATATTTATAATATTTTCATTAATCTGTATAGGTTGACAATTGTCAGGCTTTCTTTATGGATGTTGATTATTTTATTTGTTCTAGAAATTTCTCAGTGAAATAATCTTGCTTCAACAGGTAAATGAGTTTCACTTTTTATTTTAGGGTAGTGATTCCACTGAAGCAACTGCCAAGCCAAAGAGAAGTTTTTATGCTGCAAGGGACTTATACAAATACCGACACCAGTACCCAGTAAGAGTAGAGAATATTTTTTTCTAAAATGTAAAATATTTCCCTCCTATTTTTCTAAATTTATGGTGCCAGTGGGAAAACATGCAAGAAAAGTCTTTGTATCTTCTCTGTATTTCCATGTGCTGGAGATTGATTTATTTTTTCCTTTAGCAGAACTTCAAAGATATCCGATATCAAAATGACTTGAGCAATCTTCGTTTTTATAAGAATAAAATTCCATTTAAGCCAGATGGTGAGTAGTCTGCTACCTTGATAAAAAGCAAACTTTAAATAATAATATATGCCTGCTTATTCTTTGTTTATTTAGTGATTAGAACATTCTTACTGCATGTTCATTGATGGCTTTCCTTTGCTATGCAGTCTAACGTGTTCCCCAAGTGTTAGATCCTAGAATTGTGAGCAATCACTTGGTAAATTCTGGAGAAATAGCTGTGGATTGGTGATACCTTCCCATTACCTGCTTACCATGGCTATTATCTGAAAGATAGTAGGGGCAGTTTTTGCGAGAGGAAAACAGAGAAGATTTATAGGGCCAAAGAATTTTAGATTATTAAGGAACATTAGATCCAATTCAACTTTCTCATCTTAAAGATGAGGTGACTGGGACTTAAAGCTTAAATGGCTGACTTGCTGGATCACTTGATTGTAGAGTTGGGTCTGTACAGAGTTCGCTGTTCTTTCCACAGTGCCATACCTGAAAATTATTTAGGATGTGATTGAAAAATTCTGTTTGTATTTAGAACAATCTTTCCTGTCAGTTTTCAGATTCAGGGGTCAGGAAGTTCTAACAGTCCCAGTTCAGTGTTCCAATATCCTGGGAAAGGAACTGCACATACTGTGGATCTCCATCCCACTCTGCCAAATAAACCTCTCTCCTTAACAGCTCTGCAATTGCCCTCATAGGACCTTTTCCAAACCAACAGTGAGAGAATGCAGCTGCTCTGGTCATATCATCCCAAAAGTGTGCATTTCATTAAGGCATCACCCTGTGGTTCATGGTGGGCATCCTAATTTTATCCAGGTCAAGCCAGGAAGCCAGCTTCTCTTCTTAGAGCTCTTATCTGTGTGAGGTACCAGACAGCCCTGACTCCTGCTCTTTGCTCTCAGTAGAAGCTGTCAAATTCACAGCAATGTGAGTCAAGGAATGAGGGTCATGGATTACAGGGATTTTTAAATGGCAGGGCAGGGCATTGCATTCTTTGGTGAACTAACTGGAGGAAGGAGACCTAAAGGCTGGATGGAGTGTTGGGGAGGAGAAAGTCCCAGTGCTGTGCACTGAAAGACGTACTGGTTGCGAGTTAAGACCTAAGAACATTGCTGAAATGGCCAGAGCCACTTGTCTTTAACTTTCTGGTGTCCCAAAAGTCTGTTCTGATTTGGAGGGAAACCTCTGGACAAAAGTGCACTGTGGTATTTACTAATGATAGAAATGTTCTGCTTTGTTTACCAATGGACATAACATTAATTACATTACTAGTCTTGTTAGGACTTGGGGTAAGAAAACTTTTTGAAGAAATGCAATCATTAATTTAACTTTGATTTGAATTTCATAACATTTATCTGAAGGATAAAAATATTCAATTGTTAAAATATTAAAAATATTGAACAGAAAGCTATGATTTAACTCAACTATTTAACTAACATTAGTTAATAATATTAGTATTAATTGTACTTAACTCAATTATTGTTTCTAATAGTGAATTTATTTTTGAGGTAGTTATTTAAACCGGTAACTTTAAGCAATGCATTAATTTTTTTATCATCTTTATCACCAAATTTATTTTTAAATCTTATAAGATTGGTGGGGGTCAGAAGTTTTAGCTAAGGCCATATAATATGTAATTCTAGTTTATTATCTAAATTACATCAACTCACACACTTTCTTCCTCAGTGTGTGTACACACACACACACACACACAGACACACACACACACACAACAGTAAGCATAAGCTTGCAATGGAATATTTTACTTATTAAGTAGGAAGAGGGTAGTTGAAAACAAATGGAAAATTATGGAGGTAAATGGCTTCAACATGCTAATAAAGTCAGCAGTATAATTCAAAGCAACTTTCTACTTAACCTTCCAAGAGTGGGCCTCTACTATAACCTGGTGATCTCTGGAGGACACAATAAGATGAGTTATATTTAGAGAAATAATATGTTGTGTTTTTTTCTATGAGTTTGATTAAATGGCCATATAGTCAACTGTACGGATGTTGACAGACTTAAGAATCAGGAGGATTTTGTTACAGTGACTTTTATAGTGGAACAATGGGACATGGTAAAAAGGGCTTACTTTTTGTAACCAGGAAGACTTACATTCTATTCCTAGATATACTTTTTTTTCTAGTGTGTGACTGAACAAATCACACAATTTCCTCATGAGTAAAATGGGGATAATACTGTTTGGGATAATTCTGTGAAGGTTAAGCTGTATAATGTACACTGTGTATAATATGGGCCCAGCATATAGTAGGGCAGGGGTTGGCAAATTTTTTCTGTATAGGGGCAGATAATATTTTAGGCTTTGCAGGAGAGTTAGTCTGTATTGCAACCATTTAATCCTGCTGTCGTAGTGCAAAAGCAGTCATGGATGATACATAAATGAGTGTACATGACTGTGTTCCAATAAAACTTTATTTACAAAACAGCTGGCAGGCCATAGTTTGCCAACCTCTGCTTTAGAGTACATTGCCCAGTAGAACTTTCTGCGATTTGAAGTGCCATTAAATTTTTTTTTAAATTGGGCTTATTACATAACCAAGTATATGGCATATGGTATTCATCTTTTAAAAGCATTATTGTTCTTGTGTGCTATTATTAAATTTTAAAAAGTTTTAATATAAAACTCTGGTGATTCAGATATTAAAATATCTTCACAATGTTTTGAATGACTGATTCATTTTCTAAATATTTACTATTTAGGTGTTTACATTGAAGAAGTTCTAAATAAGTGGAAAGGAGATTATGAAAAACTGGAACACAACCACACTTACATTCAATGGTCAGTTATATATTATCTATGTTGAGCCATGTCCTATTTAATCATGTATGTTTTCTAGACGTTGTTAATAGGAAAATTTTATTTTTTAAAAAAATAGGCTTTTTCCCCTGAGAGAACAAGGCTTGAACTTTTATGCTAAAGAACTAACTACATATGAAATTGAGGTAATGCAAGCTTATTTCATTTTATATGAAGTGGACAATTAATATTCTTGTTTTATGGTCCTGGTAGTTACTGACTCATTTCAGTTGACTTTTTTTCCGTTTTTCATCATATTAGGAATTCAAAAAAACAAAAGAAGCAATTAGAAGATTTCTCCTAGCTTATAAAATGATGCTAGAATTTTTTGGAATGAAACTGATTGATAAAACTGGAAATGTTGCTCGGGCTGTTAACTGGCAGGAAAGATTTCAGCATCTGAATGAGTAAGTAAAGCCCCTGTGATAAATCAGGAGCCAGCACGATATTTTCCCTTGGTTGGAGTTCTCTATGGGACACAGGAACACCTAGCAGATGGGCCCAGGAATTTGGATTCAAAAGCCAGTCTGAAATACATGTTATTCCCTATTTTATATTCTAAAACAAAACAAAACAAAACAAAAAGAATCAAGTTCCAGGTAGAAACACAGTTCTTCAGCTTCCGAGCTGTTTCTCTCTGAAGCAACGCCCCCCACCCTCCAAATGCCCACAGCCAAATATGGCCTCTTGCTTCTTAATGCCACCTATTTTGGAACTTATGGTTATTGCTTGTATAGTTTTCCATATCCCTGCTACTAGGCTGTATACTACTGGGGGTGCAGTCAGTTTCTAATATCCTCAAGCATGGTGCCTTCTTAGATTAAATTTATGAGTTAAGACTATGATATAAAAAATGTGTTTTATAAGAATGAGATATGCCTGTACTTTTTATTAAAACAAAGGGAAAATTACAATTATCTTCACTAGTTAAAAAACAGAAAACTATTTTTGGTTAATAAATCCCGAAACCTATGAAGAAAATTTAATGTAGGTTATTTTAAATTGTTTTGCTGTGTTCTTTTGCTTGGATATTTATAACTTTCATTAATACTTCCAACCAAGGTTTATTTACCTTAATATTTTCTTCATGTGCAAATTGTATTTTTTTTTCTTTTTAATTATAGGTTGTCTTATGAGTGCCAGACTATAAAACTGACAGCTTTAAAACACTTTTTAGCACATTATAATTAGCCGAATTAGGCAAGTACTAAGAGAAAAAAAAATTAAAACTAACCTAAGCAGTTTCTTTTTGGCCAAAACAGAGTTTTGTGCATTGGTTATGCAAATTTTTTGTGTCTTTCTAGAACTTTCATCTTGCTTTAGTGAAATGAGTATAAATATTAATGGTAAGCCTTCCTTTTACATTATTAGTTATAATCAACACTATTTAAATTGTAGCTTGTAGTAAAACACTGAAGATATGGGCATAAAGCTTTATGATCCTGACTAGAATACCCATTACCTCAATCAAGTTAAACTTGATTTATACAGGGCACTTAAAAGTGTAAGTATGTATGCTTCTACCTAAGCAATGCAGGTAGCTATCTCTGGACAAAGTTCCTAAGCTCTTATGTCACACTGCTAAAAAAGCTGTGTGCAAGTAGCCTATTGACATGAAGGATGTCAAAAGTAAAGTAGGCCTGGCCCGGTGGCGCACTGGAGAGTGCGCCGCTTGGGAGCGCAGCGGCGCTCCCGCCGAGGGTTCGGATCCCATGTGGAGACCGGTTCCCGCTCACTGGCTGAGTGCGGT